CTCCTTTCGGAGCTGCCCGGCATAATCCGGGAGGCTGCTGACACGAAGGGACTTTCCATCCCTCTCCTCCCCCGCCCAGATCGGATGATCTAGCGGGAAGGTTTGGCTCCGCCCCGGCTCGCCGTCCTGATCCCATCTGGCCTCGTTTCCCAGCAGTGACGTCCTACTGGAACGAGGCTGCAGCTGGACCTGGTAAATTAAGAGCGCCCGTCTCCACTTTCGCTCCCATCACCAGAATGGAGGGGTTTACTAAAGCCCCTTATCCACGGGTCTTTTTGGTACTCCTATGTAACTAGTTGTGGCCGATTGCGGGTTTTATCAACAATGCCTCTAGTGGTGGAACCCACCCCATTTTTGGGACCTAAATCACTGAGGTCCCAGGTCTGGTTCTTTTAGGGTCTAGTTGTGACATCAGCGCACTGTAGGTCACTGATTGGTCAGGGGGCGTATTCATTGGTGGAGGGCGGAGATTCAGTCTTCCACCGGAAATCACAATCCACCATTTTCTTTTTCACCCGCATAACAGACAACAAGAAATCGGAGGAGCTTATTTTGGAATATTTTATAAGGTAAAACAAATAATCATGGCACAACCGTGGTCGAATGCTGAAGTTCAGGCATTTCTCTGTTTGCTGGCCGATGAACAAGTGCAGCGCGAGCTAGATGGAACGAAACGAAATGAAAAGATTTTTCAAGAGGTGTCTGCGCAGATGGCGGTGCAGGGCTCCATCGCACACCAAAGCAAAGAGGAAAGCTTAAAAAACTAATAGTTGATGGTGAGTGTATTTTATTTACTTTAAGCATATTTCCTTTTCCTCATGCAACCGTTTCTTTGCGTTTTCTGAAAGTACTCTGAACAAATGAGGCAGACGCGGTTACGTCGTCATTAGTTAGCATCATTGCTAACTGAACTCTGTTGCTGTTTTTCCACTCTTTATTTTGATGCAGAAAGTCCCACTGAACATGAAGGTTCGCCAGATTCTGCTTTTGACTGTCCAATCCTCCCCGCTTCTGACCCTTCCCGACCACACCAGCTCCGAGTACATCTACGCCACCGGGCACATCCATGCCACCGGGCACATCTACGCCACCGGGCAACACGCAGCAGAGCGGCACCAAACAGCACCGGTTAGTAGGTAAGAAGAAGCAACAATCGTGTTTAACATCACATTGATCATGTCGATATGAATGTTGTTTTGTTTTTGTTGTAAAACACCTTGCATGTATTCAAACTACTTGTTTATTCAGTTGTAATGGATAAATGTTAAATTTAGTTATTCATTTATTACTTAAACTTTCATTTATGAAGTTTATTATTGAAATTATACATGGTGTAGTGATTTTTGTTCAGATTAACGATGCTCTGTTCTTTTTCTAAATTAGCACAACCGTTGTAAATGACTACATGTAGTTTATTTATGCCCACCTGCTTACTATCATTAAAGTACTAGACTGCTTTATGAACAGAATCATTTCTGATCTTGTGAACAAACACCTTTTGAAATTAGCAGGAACTTTAATGTAAATAATTTATTTAAAAACTCTACCTGTACTTCATCATCTAACAGCCATTTTCTTGTGTGTTATTCCTAGGCAATAGAAAGCGCAGATCAACAAGTGCAGCAGAGAGCTTTGTTTCTGCACATACTGAACAAGAGGAGATGAACCGGAAGCAGAGAGAGGAACACTTCCATTTTATTTGTGAGGATGCCAAAAAAGCAAGGCAAGAAGAAGCTGCAGCAGCGAGGAAGCAGGAGAAGGCAATTAGGAGGGAGGAGATGGCCTTGAGGAGAGAGGAAGCAGATGTTCGCAGAGAGGAAGCAGCACAGCGAAGGCAGGAGGCTGAACAGAGTGCTGCTTTCAGTCAGGCACTCCTTGGGGTGCTGGAATCCATTGCCCGTTCCATGGCAAACAGACATGTTTAAAAATATTTAGAGTAGATCATAGTTGATCTATAGAAATGTAGATCCTGCAAGGTAAGCCCACAAATAGCCAAACGTAGCTTGTTAAGTTTGCATATATAATTAGTGTATAATTGGTTTTTTTTGTACAGGTCTTTATTTCTAATAAAAGAAACATTTTCAAGTCTTGAGCTTCCATCTGATCATCAAAAGTGAAGTGCTTACAGTGTTTTTTTACGTCAATAGTGTAGATAAGTGAAGTAATTGTTTTTTACCTGTAACAATGCTGGTGAAGATTCTCAGTTATCCTTGACACGGCAAATCCCCCCCCAAAAATATAAAAACAAAACCACAGGACTTTTTTTAAAACTCCAAAAAGTCCAGTATTTTTATTTATGTATTTTTTTTGGTTTTATCTGTAATGAGTACTGAAAAACGTAACCATAATACAGAATGTCCATGTGTTGTAAATGAACATTGCAGTGGAGTTAAAAAGGTGTAGGACTTGTGTAATCTACGTTTACAATCATCCTCATTCAGGAGGTTTTCAGTCATTGCATGTCAAACACCTCGGCCATGATGTCCATCCTGTGGATCCAGCAGCTTCTGCATCTTTTTCACCCAAGGTCAAAAATTCTCTCCACGACTTTCACTGTGGTACAAAGGAGCACTAACTTAATATTACTTAACAGCACTTCAATCATGAAGATAATTTGCGACAGCTTAATTTAAAGAGCTGCGTGGTAAACATAAGCTCTGAAAGAGTTGTTAAATATCAAATCAAATGTAGGTTATTATGTAATGTACGTAATATATACATATATATATATATATATATATATATATATATATATATA